ACACCTTCGGTGCAGCTCCCTATGGGGCCACGAAGCGCTGTGCTGGGTGGGTGAAATGCATGGAAGAGGGAGGAGGGAGAAGGAGGGGGAAGAGAAGGAGAAGAGTAGAGGAGGAGAGGAACGCGGGGACCGTCTCGTCAAAACGAGGACCCAACACCACAGGATGGTTGGGAAAAACAAAGGAGCCGAGCAGAGGAAAGAGGACGGCCTCCCCCCCATCCACGTATGAGAAATACACGTGCGAGAAGGGCAGCAGCCACTGATTTGTCAAACCAGTCGGTCGACCACCTGCGCCCAGAAGGCAGGTAGGATCTGCTGGCGCCCCAGCCGTCCCTGTAACATGCCAGTATACAATTGTCGCGGGGCGGCCGCGAATGTTCCAAATGTGAAGGCAGAGTGCGCTTTGTATTATTTTTCCCAACCCTCCTGTGTTGAGTTCTCGTTTTGAATAGAGGACTGCGGTCACACACCTTCCCGCCCCCTCTCCCCTTCTCTCCTGCCCCTCACCTCGCTCCTTCCTGCATGCCAGCTTGCCTCCTACCTGGCCATCCCTGGGGGGCTGCTATCTGCGGGACTGTCGCCACTTTCGAGGGCATCCAGGGGTCCAGCGGAGCGACGCCTTACCCAGATTCTAATGTGCCAACGCCATCCCTGTGGAGCTTTGATCTGTGAACCTGTTACCACTTTCGAGGGCTGCTGGGGGGTCCAGCGGAGTGACGTCTTACTTATATTCAGATGAGGTCTCGCTATCCCTGGGGGGCTGAGGTCCGCGGAACTATCGCCACTTTCGAGGGCTGCTGGGGGGTCCAGCGGAGACGCGTCCTACTCAGATCCAGATGGGACGCGCCATCCCTGGGGGGCTGCGATATGCCGAAACTGTCGCCACTTGCGAGGGCTGCTGCAGGGTCCAGCGGAGTGACCTCTTACTTAGATTCAAAGGAGACCTCGCCATCCCTGGGGGGCCGCGATGTGCCGAACCTGTCACCACTTTCGAGGGCTGCTGGGGGGTCCAGCGGAGTGACGTCTTACCCAGACTCAGATGAGATCTCGCCATCCCTGTGGGGCTTTGATCTGTGAACCTGTCACCACTTTCGAGGGCTGCTGGGGGGTCCAGAGGAGTGACGTCCTACCCAGACTCAGATGAGATCTCGCCATCCTTGTGGGGCTGTGATATGTGAACCTGTCACGACTTCCGAGCGCTGCGGGGGCGTCCAGCGGAGTGACGTCCTACCCAGACTCAGATGAGACCTCGCCATCCCTGGGGGGCTGCGATCTGCGAAACTCTCGCCATTTCCGAGCGCTGCGGGGGCGTCCGGCGGAGTGACGTCCTACCCAGATTCAGATGAGACCTCGCCATCTCTGGGGGGCTGCGATTTGCGAAACTGTCGCCACTTTCGAGGGCTGCTGGTGGGTTCAGCGGAGTGACGTCCGACACAGGTTGAAATGAGACCTCGGCAGCCCTGGGAGGCTGCGGTATGCGAAACTGTCGCCATTTTTGAGGGCTGCTGGGGTGTCCAGCGGAGTGACTTCGTCCTCAGATTCAGATAGGACCTCGCCAGCCCTTGGGGGCTGCGATTTGCGAAACTGTCGCCATTTTCGATGGCTGCTGGAGCGTCCAGCGGAGTGACGTCTCCCCAGATTCAAAGGAGACCTCGCCATCCATGGAGGGCTGCGATCTGCGAAACTGTCGCTGCTTTCGAGGGCTGCCAGGGCGTCCAGCGGAGTGACGTCTTACCCAGATTCAGATTAGACCTCGCCATCCCTGGGGGGCTGCGATCTGTCAAACGGTGGCCACTTTCGAGGGTTAGTTCCGGGGGCCCAGCGGAGTTACGCCTTACCCAGATTCAGATGAGACCTCGCTAGCCCTCTTCTGGGCTGCGACTTGCGAAACTGTCGCCATTTTCGATGGCTGCTCAGCGGAGTGAAGTCCTACACAGGTTGAAATGAGACCTCGGCAGCCCTGGGAGGCTGCGGTATGCGAATCTGTCGCCACTTTCGAGGGCTGCTGGTGGGTCCAACAGAGTGACGTCCGACCCATATTCAGATGAGACCTCGCCAGCCCTTGGGGGCTACGATTTGCGAAACCGTCGCCGCTTTTGAGGGCTGCTTGGGGGTCCAGCGGAGTGACGCCCTACCCAAATTCAATTGAGATGTCGCCAGCCCGGGGGGGCTGCGATCTGCGGGACTGTCGCCACGTTCGAGGGCTGCTGGGGGGTCCAGCGGAGTGACGTCTTACCCGGACTCAGATGAGATCTCGCCATCCCTGTGGGGCTGTGATCTGTGAAACTGCCGCCACTTTCGAGGGCTGCTGCGTGGTCCAGCGGAGTTGTGGCAAACGCGGGCCACCAGCAGACCCCGCCAGCCTTGGGGGGCTGCGATCTTCCAAACTGTCGCCAGTTTCGAGGGCTGCTGTGGGGTCCGCTGGAGTGATGTCTTGCGCGGACCACCAGGAGACCTCTGGCTGCATCTCTCCGTGATGCTGTCCAGGGCAACGACCGTGGACAACCTCTTGATGATACGCGACCCCGGCCTGGATTTCCCGGCCCGCGGGCCGCCCGTAGACCTGGCGGCGCGCCTTCGAGCGTTTAGCCCCCGTGCTGAAATGTGCAGGCAGGAAGCAGAGAAGCTGGCGTGGGAGCCAGGCCTCGTTCGCTTCTTGCACTGATATCCAGGTTTAATCATTTTTCCGAGCGCCGCGGCGACATGGTGCAGACAGCGTTGCATCTTCAGCTTGCTACCGACAAAAGCAACACTCTTCGGTCTCGTCCCGTCACTTTCGTCGTCGCCCTCTGCCCCCTGCCACGTTCCTTCTGCTGCTGCCGCGCCGACGGTTCGGCCCCCGGCCCGCGCGTCCTTTTCGTGCCATTCGTTACCGCCCCCATGGCCTCCTCAAGCCTGTGTCCTCGCTCCTCGTCCTTCAGTTGTTGGCCTGTGAATCGCGCCGCGTGGGCGCATCCCATGTAGCTTGCGCAACATATTATGACGCTTGCGCTGTCATTGTCCTGGCAAGTTCGGGCCAACTCCTCTTGTTAGCTGATGCAAATCGGTTCGGTACGTCGCAGGGTAATTTGACAGGGATGGTGCGGATGGGGGGGGGGGGGCCTCATAGGGGTCGTCATGGTTCCAGGTTGGCCGCTGGCTGGGCGGTGTATATACGAATAGGGCACAGTGATGAAACGTTGCCCGAAGGGGGAAAAGGAACATGGAAACGCAATCTTGCTAAACCACCTCCGTCCCGGGGGCTGGTGCGATTTTTCATGACCTGTTTCCCTTTCGTGGCAAACTCGCTTGCGGTATGTAGTTGCTGGTGCAGTCTGGTGTCGACGTTTCCCTGCGATGTTCTGGCGCAGGGAGGTCAGACGGCAGACGTGCATACACTGGCGTGGCTGCAAAGTTCCATCGGCGAGCTGCGCACGTGATGCTGGTGCGTGACTGATTCCCTGGCGGCCGGCCATTGGTCGATAGGGAGGCTCGGGGTGGGGAGTGCTTTCTTGCGTGGTTAACGTGTTTCAAACAAGTGCCCATCGGTAGTTCAAGGTGCGTATTTCGGGGCCCGCAATACCCACTCTACTCTAGGCGCCATCCTGGTCTATTTCAGCTGGCGAGTGGTCTTCCCTTCTCCCTCCTCTTTTATGGGGGGGCGGAGTCCAACTTCTTTTCAAGGCTCGCAGACGTGAGCAGATGCATCTTCCTCTGCGAGTTCTGCAGCATGCCCTTCCCGTGGCGCGTCGGCGCCCGCCCGCCCCCGTCCCCCTAGACCCCCAGACCCGCAATTGCAACGGCCGCCGGGGCCCGCAGGCTTCGTTGGTCGGCGTCGCTAGACAGTGACATGTTTGGACCAGAGGGCAGAAGTTGGAGCTGGCTAAGGGGGCCGAGGTGGGGCAGCACCAGTGGTTTCAGCCGTGAAGGAGAGGCAGTGCGCATGTTTCGTGCCCTGTCCTTCCCGGGCCGCCTTTTCTCCAGATGGGCATCGAATGCCGCTCGTGCCCACCTTCCCGTCCTGTATTGTCTCGTTGGTGTCCTTTCAGAGCGAACCCCCGGCCGCCTCCAAGGCAGAACGATTGTTTCAAGTTCAGCGGTGGTCTTGGCAGTCAAGACGCTATGATAGGGACCACCTGGGACTCAAGGAGGAGGGGATCTGGTGTTCGGGCCGTTCCTCAGGTTCATGCGAACCTGTTCGTGGCCGAGGCTCGCAGTGGCCCGAAAAGCTCCTTGCCGTCTCATGCAGCGTGCTTCATGCACGATGACTGTATGTCACCCGAGATTGCGCGAGGGTGCAGTCGGACCGAGGTATAAGATCGAGGTCGGTTCGGTATCCTAGTGTTCTTCGTGCTTATTGGATGTTCTTGCGCATCGTGGGGGAGGGCACCCTCGAATGTTCTTCAGGTTGGGCCTGTGGATGGTTCTTATGTTCTTGAGGGATGTTCTTCTGGCCTAGGTCCGACTGTCACAGCTCCTCGCGCCAGCTTGTCTTCGCTGAAAAATCGGTCTTCTATCCACGGTGCGACGCCTGGGCGCAGAAATAACCGCGCGCCGTGCTCTTCCCTTTATGGAGCAGGGAACAGATGCGGTCCCGGGGCGCGCTCTGACAAGGACTTCGAGGTGAGTCTGGCCCTCCAGGAGGCCCCCCCGCAGGCGAGAACGAGAGAATGGCACCGGTGCACCAGCACGTATTTTCGCCCGTCCGAGCGAAGCATCAAGTTAGGTGACCTAGACAAGCCGAGCAGACCTGGACAGCCGACGTATTTTTTTTGGTCACGGCGCTCCCCACAGGTCTGGACCTCCCAGGAACCCTCATCGGGCGGGGCTGGGATGAGGATGAATCCGTTCCAGAGTGTTCTGGAACCTTCTCATAACGCTGCGGAACGCTCTGAGAAGGCCGCGGCGCGCCCGAGACAGCCTCCAGAGCCGCCAGATTTCAGAGACTTTCGATCTAGCCTCGTCCGATTTTATCCTCGCCCTGGTTCCGTCTCAAGGAGGCCCCTGCCGCGGCGCGCAAGGAACCGCGACTTCTCAGAGGCCGACAGGATCCGCGAGGAGCTCCGCACCAAGGGCGTGGACATCATGGAGAGGGAGCGGAGGCGGGCGGCCCCTGTTTGATGGGCCTGTTTTCTACCACCACCACCACCAAAACTCCTCCTCTTCCTCCTCCTCCTCCTCGTCCTCCTCCTCGTCCTCGTCCTCCTCCTCCTCGTCCTCCTCCTCTTCCTCCTCCTCCTCCTCCTCCTTCTCCTCCTCCTCCTCCTACTCCTCCCCATCCAACTAGTGATGGTGGTGGCGGGAAACAGGCCCATCACCGGAGAGTGAAGCGGCAGGCTCTCGTCGTGCCGGCGCGGCGGCGGCTCCCGCTGCGCGTTCGAGGCCGAACGCTGCCAACTCAGATCTCCGATCGCGGAGCTCGGGTCTGATGGGCCTGTTGTCCACCACCACCACCAGAAGTTGGAGGGGAGGTGGTCTTTCTTCCTCCTCCTCCTCCTCCACCTCCTCCTCTTCCTCCTCCTCCTCCTCGTCTTCGTCCTCCTCCTCCTTCCCCCCTCCAATTTATGGTAGTGGTGGTGGGCAACAAGCTTATCACGGGTCTGCTGGCGCTGGCTTCATTCTTCGTCGAGAACAGAAGAGCCCTCAACCCTGATAAGACGATGAAGACGTGGCCTCACTTAGGTCCCCGTTTTCGCATCAGGCGTAATACATCTGGGCGGTTTGGTCTGACACGTCTGCAGAAAAAAAACCCTATCCCTGATGTCTTTGGCCCTCCTAACTGAGGTCCCTTCCCGAAGGGGTGGGGGTATTTGTATTGCTTATCAATGTTCGCCTTTTAGGCCTCGTGGAAGGCTCCCGTTGCCACCGCTGGATTCGCTTCGAAATTCTGATCAGGACGCACCACGGGAGAGGTCTGGGGAGTGGCGGTATCAGTGCCGGCTGGTTTCTCCAGCTCTGATGGGAAACGGAAGGTTCGAGTACGCCGGAGCTCGGGTGTGCCGACGTTTTTTGGCTAGTTCGCCCTGGATTTTGTCGGTCCAGTTTTCGTGGGACGTGTTGCAGCGGGAGCTCGCGCCAAATTTCAGATTTGGTATCGTTTTTTTTCAAGATGGCCCTGTCAGGCCAACCCGAGTCCCCCGAGCCCGAGTTTGACGTCTCCCCGATCCGACGATACGGCTGTTTCAACCCTGCCTTCGTCAACGATTCCGGCCTTTGGGGCCCGTTAACGGGCCCCTGGGCCAGCAAGAGCGGGTCCAGGACGAAAAGTTGTCCCCAGGGAAAGGGTCGTGGTCTCTGGCGGCCTTTGGTGTATGCGGCAGGCTCTCGTCGTGCCGGCGGCGGCGGCCCCCGCCGCGGGGGCGTCCGAGGCTGAACGCCGACAGTGGCTCGAGGTCCCACACCGTCCAGCGCGGGGAAAAAACCAAGGCAGAGGGATGTCCCCCCTGTTCGGCCTCCGCTGGCCCTCCCTTGGCCCGCGGACCGTCAGGAAGTGGTCCCGGCATGCAACACAGCCCTGTAGAAAGGGTCGTCTGCCAGGGCGTTCAAGGCTGAAGAACGCCGCCAGTGGCTAAAAATCGGCCGATACGGAGGGAACCTTGAAGAAGGTGGAAGAGGCAGAGGAGGAGGAAGAATAACCTCATGCCCGTGAGAATGAACACTAGGGGATAATAAAGTTCGGGGTTCAGGGAGAGATAATAGAAGTAGCCCAGCAGACCTCAGCATAATCTCGAAGTAAGAGATGATCAAGAGGAGACCTAGCCGAGCACGTTTTGAGACATCCTTGGCGTTTAGTTTTCATAGAAATATCCTCAACAATGGCTTATCTCGCTGGAGACATCCTCGACAAATCCCTTGTTTCGCTTGAAACATCCGCAAACTATTGCTTATTTCGCTTGAGACACAGTCAAACTATTGCTTATTTCGCTTGAGACATCCTCGAAATAATTGTGTTTTTCGCTTGTAAAAGGAGGAAAGGAGGAAAAGCAGAAAACATCTCGAGTAGGAAATCTATTCGATTTTATTTACAAACGCTTTATGAACATTGTTTTTTGTAAGTGCTCGTGTAGGGTAGCTCATGTGCCTCAATTTCCATGGATAATCAACCCCAGAGATAAAAAAAGTTCAGGCGAGCGTGGGGACAGAGAGAAATATAAAAGAAGAAGAATACAGTAGAAACATAACAAGAAAGAAGAAGAAAAAGGAGAATAAGAAGAGGACGAAGAAAGGAATAATCCAAAGTTCCAAATCTATCAATTTTAATTTACAAACGCTTTATGGAACTTGTTTTTTTTTAAGTGCTCGTGTAGGGTAGCTCATGTGCTTCATTTTCCATGGATAATCAACCCCAGGGATAAAAAAGTTCAGGCGAGCGTGAGGACATATAGACATATAAACAGAAGAAGAGGAACTTATAATAATAATAAGAAGAGAAGAAGAAGAGAAGAAGAAGAAGAGAAGACGAACGGAAAAATGGAAAGTTCCAAATCTATCAATTTTAATTTACAAACGCTTTATGAACATTGATGTTTTTAAGTGCTCATGTAGGGTAGCTCATGTGCTCCCCTTTCCATGGATACTCAACCCCAGAGATAAAAAAGTTCAGGCGCGCGCGGGGATATATACATATATAAAAAGGAAGGTAATAAAAATATAAATAAAAAGAAAAAACTTGCTGGTTTAGCTTGAAACATCCTTGAGACATCCTTGGAACATTGCTCGTTTCGTTTGAGTCTGCCTCCCAAAATTATTGGTTTCGCTTGACACATCCTGAAAAAGTGTGATCGCTTCGCTTGATGTTGCTATATCAACATCGCTTGATGTTGCTATCTCAACATAGCGTTTCGAGGTGATAATGAAGGTCGGCCTCAGCGCTCGCCGCCCAATTTGAATTTTGTATAGGGCGACGATAATCAACTCTAAACACTGAAGGGGGGGGGTCCCTTTATGATCATCGGCATGCGGTTAACCATAAGACGAGTAACATTAGTATGTGAGGTTATTAATATTGGCAATCATGGCGCTAATGGTTAAAGAACATACCAAGACAAATGCGAGTAACGATACTACACATATTCATGGTGACGCTAATCTGAAGACGACGAAGAAGAACAAGGTCTGCTCGGATTTTCGGGGTCGGTGCTGGGCCCCCCAGAGTTCAAGCTCAAGCGAGCAAGCATATTCCCGCAGACTACAATCCCATCTTCCATTGCTTTCCGTCCCATACGTCTTATATACGTTTGTTTGCTTGTTCTCGTGGAAGTATGTCGTTCCCGCCTACGTCAAAGCACACCCGCATGGCCAGCACGCCCGTCAAGCACGCCATGTAGCCCCTCGCGGGGAGAGCGAAGCAGCACACGATCCACAGCCCGCTACATGAGATCGACGGGCTCTACGACGAAGCCTTCCCCGAACCCGCACCTCTACTCCAATTGCAGGACAACTTTGCGTGGCCGGACCCGACCAAGGAGAATTCGGACACGGAGGCAACGGAGGTGAACCTGGATCGGCCAGTTTGGCAGCATCAACGGAGAAACGCAGCTGCCGATGCGGAAGGGCTCACAGTGGGACAATTTTACCAAATACTCCGTGAACAGTTGCAACTTCATCAAACCCATTTCTGGGCAATATTTCAACACGGAGTTTCACAGCAATGCTCTCGAAATGCAATGCAGCCACTACGCGCGGCCATCGACGACGCTTCCCAGAGGGTCATTGCGCTTGAGACCCAAACGTCATACCTGGCTTCTGCTGAAACCGGGTCCGCACGCGTCATGGGCAACACCATGGGAGACGAAGGTCAACCAGCTCGAACGCCAGATGGAGGCATTCACCACTAACCAACACTACGAATGCAACGCTGTCGTTGGAGGCCCACGCGCTTGTTCAAGTATGGATATGGCCGTGGATTTCTTTGAGCCGCAATTTTTCGGACTTCAAGCCGCCAGATCACATCGATGATTTTACGAAGGGCGACTTCAATAGCGTCATTTTCGTGAAGTTCAGCGACAAAGTGGCCCGGGGCAGCTCGTCAACGCTTTCGGGAGGGCGCAGATCAGCCACTCTGGGAATGCAGTGTGGGCCCAGGCCGACCAACGTTTTGAGAAGGGGATCCCAAATAGTTTTTTTTCCGGTGTACGAAACCAGTTTTTGGCATGGGGGCACTGAAAAAGAGAGGTTTGTGTTAACGCCGGCGCTCGCGGGATGAATGTGGCCAAAGACCCAGTGGCAACAGTGAGCATTGCCAAAAACACCCAGTCACATTTCAGGGGAGGAGCGTGGAAATAATGGGGGGGGGGACTCACGAAGAGCCCCGAAGTGGCACGCCTTATCGCGCGTGCCAGCGGCATGCTGGGCGAGGGAATGCGAAAGGGAAGCAAGGTGGAGCGGATGACCATTAGGTGTCTGGACGGTTCATCGGGCTTCCAGAGATAGCTCGGGTAGGCAAATGGGTATGTTACCCATGTTGCATTATGGGGTGTGGCAGGGTTGCCACTTGGAATGTCGAACGCATTGCCAGCGGCAGTCTGCGCGAACTCATCGAGCTCATCAAACATATGCGGGAGTTGGACCTGCAAGGTCTTTGTCTTCAATAGACGCGATGCCGTGGGTCCGAAGTCCACGAATTCGAAGGCCATTTGGATTTTCTATCCGGATCAGAGGGAGGTCGAAGAGAATAAGGGGGAAGCGGCTTCATCGTGGCACCCAGGGCGCGACGATCAATCAAATGTTATTCGCCATGCAATAATCGCGCGGCGGGAGTGTGGGCGCGGGCAAAAGGAGGCGCATGTCTTCCAATATGAGCATGCGTTTGGACAAGCGCGCGGCGACGACGCCTGGCGCGACTTCTACACATGATTGGAGCATCTATTCACGCGTTTCTGGCCCCATGGGCCAGCGCGGTTGCTTGGCAACTCCAAAGCTCGATTTGTTGTCAAGATTTGCAGACGAAGAACAGGTTCTCGTTGCGCGTGCGTCTCCAAACTCTCAACGCAGATGGCGCCTGCTGTCCAACAGAGAACTGTTGATGGGAGTTTGTGTTGCGACAGAGGCTTGCGTTGCAAATGCGTTTTTCGATGTGCCAGTGGAGACAAAAGTGACCCGC